AGCACGCTAAATTTTGGCTTTAAACGCAGAAGGGTTGGAGGTGCTGAAGTCGCCTCTTCAGCCTTACCTTACCACGGCCAGCACCAAACGCATACCTCGAGGTTGTCTTCGACTGCCCATCGCCGTCTACGTACTTCAACAGAATTACTTTTGAAGTAAGCTTGAATAGTCTTCGTCTGAACCCGACCTTTGTTGCAACTTTTCTACTCTTACTGTCAGTGAAAATTGACCAATACCGCTGGAGTAATCTCCTAACTCATACTCTATTCTCATTTTACAATGATGTAGATAAAGTGTATGTCACCTCTTAAACGATGAAAATAAATTATGAATTGTGTCCTAATTTTGATCCCGCAAATCCCAATTGAATAAAACAGACAAAAGCACCATCTAAAAACAGCTCGGATGGTAAGAACGCCTGCGCTAATAAGTGCTTCAGACTGGTTTGCATGGTGGGTGGCTTCACCATTCGGACTGTTTTTTTGAGCGGATCTCGTCTCTATATTCAATTCGAGCACAGGGCAGAAAACAAAAGGTAAAGCAGTGACGTTTCGTGCTGAACGTCTCGAGACTCAACATTTTAGCTAGAAGCATCATGAGTTTCGATATAGCGCCTTTTCTGCGTTTTATGTGGGCACATTCACTGTACCGTACCGTTTTTTTCTCACTGAAACCAAACATTCTTGCGAACATTAAAGAATGCCTCCGAGATTAACTGCGAGGTGTCCGTCTGCTTGTTACCTTCTTCATAGTCTGCACTGCTGACTCAGCAGTAGGCGTGCTCTACTCCACGGCCAATATTGTTTAGCACACCTCGCGCTGATTCTCAGTGTTTTCGACACTGAAAGCCTCCAGACCCGTGTTTACGACGACTGGCACGGGTTTGAAGTGGTTCTACGCAAGCCTTGACCACATCCTTACATCGTGCTTTCGGCTTATCTAATTTTCGTCTGATTTTGCTCTTAGTACCGGACCTACTGACAGTTCTACGTCCACATCTCCGTCTACAAGAAAATCCAGTCTAAGTCCGCCAACGGACTCCTCACCCAACTTACCAAATCGCCGAAAGACGGGTAATTGCAATATTAAACGACCGTAAGTTCACCTCTTCACAGTTATATTTGCTTTTTCAATCCTACATAGCCAAACGACTGTAAAATGTCATAATTTGATGACTGAAACAAGAAGGTGTTTGTCGGGCGTTTCATACTGGCTCTGGA